CATATATATACATATATATACATATACAGTATATGTATGTGTGTGTGTAATTTGCTTGTGTCAAAGTGTCTTATTAAATCGATGGTATTAAATGTAGTTTTATCAGTACCACCAGCAGAAATACCAGGTTTGCAGCTGCTCTGATTTTGTATTTTAAAATATTTCTATACTGAGACATTTTGGTAGCATAAATGAAATGGTCTACCTTCTCCTGTTGTGAAAAATTAAAGATAAAATTGATTTTTTATAGTGTTGCCATGTTGTATTTTTGGAGCCAGGAACTGTACACTATGGATGTGCTTTTCAAATATTTGGAGTGAAGAGTATATCTTCCCCTGTAATGTAGTGGAGTAGAGATGTATGAGTATTAGTATGAGGTGTACACTGCATACAGTTCCTTTCTGCATCAGGAGCTGAAAAAGTCACCCTCCCCAATCCTGAAAGCTGCTCACATTTAAAGCAACACATTAACAGGATAAAAAACATCAGTTTCTTTTCCCTTCTCTTTATTTGTTTAGCAAAAACAACATAAGAGACTATCTATGACATGACTCACACTCCCTGGCGGCAGACAGTACTAACAACAGCAATACTTCATTTATTTAATTGTGTCCTCCTCATTCAGTCCATGTCTTTGTGCAGAGATAACAGGATGTCTGCTCACCGAGGACCAGACCCTAAACAGAGCCTGCGTGTCCCGGTGCAGTCCAAACGAAGAATCCTTTCCACCAATACATTTCAACGGTCTAAAAATACATTAGGCATTCAAATAATACATTCTGACAGCTCTGAAGGACACCACTCTGAGCTAAAGGCTCCTTATTCTGGCTGAGTTAGTGGTTCCCTTGTTGAGTTAACACTCCCACGTGGCAAAACAGTTTGCTGGCCGTGGTCTGGTGACATAAACAACAGTTTTTCTTTTCTCTTTTTCCAAGAGTGGCAAGAGTGACATCATAGTTCCAGCCAGGATAAAAAAAATGACCGCTATTCTGCAATCATAATTATGTACAAAATACATATAATCATATTTATTTACAGAACATGTGGAGACAGACAAAGCCTCTCTGGGCTTAACATGAAGATAAACAGCACCTCTAGTGTCAGAAAGACAAAGATGGCACACTGAGAAAAAAAACAAAACAAAACAAAACAGAAAAATAAAACTTGGCACTTGTAAGGATTTCTTTCACATAAACAGAAGACAGAGACATAAAAGTCAGTTTTAGTGGTAAACAATGCAGCGGCCTTCATCTGGCTGGCTTCACGAGTAAAAACAGAAGAGCAGGTGTTGAGCTTCTAGTCCACATCAAACAGTTATAAATAATTACCACCATAGAGAAAGACTAGGGAGAAACAGGTAAGTCTTTATCCAGGCTAAGCTAATGCCTACGCAAACATTGGCATTTGGCATTTTCCAGGCTAATAAATAAGTCTTTCTAAAGAAACATACTGATGTATACTAATATGCTAACATTAGTTCATGTCAAACCTCAGTCAATGCTCAAACGTAGATTTGTGTAGTAACACGGGTATTGTTTGGCTGAGAAAACACCAACAAACTAAGCTAACATTAGCTGCATTTCCATTGCAAATGTGCACAAAACTTTGTCGATATTCTGTTAATGTTGAAAAACACAGTTTC